TTATTTCATGGTTCTGTTGATTATTCCATGACTTAACGGATTCATGTTTTAATGATAACATATTAAATAAATTATTATAATAATTATATGTTAATTGTTACAATAGAACAACTTACCCCTTCTTCATATGACCATCTTGCAGCCACAGCATTAACATTAGCTTTATGCATTTTACGTCTACTACTGATAATTTTTTCTCTAATAGCACGTGTCTCTTCATCTGTAGGTGGCATTTCATGAGGAGGTGGTTCTTCTCCTGGCGGTGCATCGTCCGCAGCTGATGCCGAAGTAGCATCATCTGCTTTCAAGAGAGCTTTGACTTCTGCTCGAATAGTAAGAAAATCATCTACACTTAAAATTCGATTTGGCAGATTTGAAGAAACAAACTCTTGGAAAGCTTCAAAATGAGAAATATATCCAAGCGTAGGAGTGCATAGTAAACGATCATACAATGCCGTTACTCTGCTCAAACGTTTGCCTTCTAATTCCCATTTTATATAACTTTCCCAAAGACGATCAGATCTGAGAATAAAAATGATGAATATAAAATTAATATAATATAACTTTCCATCCGTTATGTTTTCTTAAGGTCACCACTATAGAGCCCGAAAAAAGCTTTTTTTTTTGGGAATTTTTTTTTGCGAAAACTAAATGAGGAATAGAATTTCTTTTTTGAGGGTTGGTTAATCATATATTGAACTATGTACACAAATATTTTTATTGATTTTAGATAGAAAATGGCGTCGGTATTCGTGGCTGAACAAAACCCTGTTTTTTTTTTTTGCTAAAACGGGCGGACTCGTACCTGGACAACTATGAGATCTAGAATAAAAATCAAAAGAAATTCTTAATCTATGTACTATTATCTTGAGAAGTACATATGGATTTTTCCCTAAGTCAAATTTTGTGAGAATGGCGCAACTTTGAATAAAAAAATCGACTTTTCGACGAAAAAAAATGTAGAAAATTGTTTATAAAAAAAAAATTTTCATTCAATTAAAAATCGGATATGTACTTCTGTAGATAATACAACTATCAAACTATCTTCAAAATTTCAAGTCAATCGATTAAATGATGTGAAAAATGTAGTTTCGAGAAAAACGCGTTTAAAGTTTTGTTATCACTATTCGAGGTGCTTTGAGACGCTTCGAAAAAATAAGATTTCCCCATGTTAAAAATATTTGTTTGTTTCAGGACCAAGTGCATAATGTTTTTAGATGTCTAAAGTACACTTCTAGCTAAAAAAACAAAAATCGATTTTTTGAAAATTCTATAGTGGTGTTACCCCTTAATTGTACCGGTAATTATAACAATTAACTTACTTTCTTTTCATAATTACTGATACAATTGATCTTACTTACCTAAATTCTAATCCACATGCTTGAATAGCTCTTTCATATTGTTCACGTAGTTTATCTTCATCCTTTTCGTAGACAGTTTTGCAGTGATTGATGTAATGTAACCAGAGATCAACGCTGAGCGAAATAGCTTTCGAACCTTGGTCGAATACCTGTAGTAATGATTGGTAATCACATTTTAGAAGAGTTTATAAATAATCTGACTGACGCCGGGTAGTCTTATACCTATATTTAGCTTTTGTTAAGCATTACGGTTTTTTTTTTTAGTAACGTATACTCACATACCGTACGCGTACTGTAAATAAAGATTGATATAATTAACACTGAGATTGCAGAGCATTTTGAATTCACCTTAAATTCAAGGAGTGATCCGTTCTGGGTGCCTCAGTGTCTTCCGTCACTCATTCTTGTTCCCTCTCTGGCACGTGCACATCCTAAGTCTTTGTTTCTGACTTTGACTTAACACCCAACCCAATCTTACTTACATTAAGTAAGCTACCACATCTTATGCTTAAGTTACAATACTTTTTGTAGTAAGCTATGTGTACAAATGCTTACAAGTAAATATTACACACAATGTTTTGAACGATAATATATCGTAAATGGAAATAAACTAGCCTTCGTGAGGTGACTTACGTATCGCACGTAGAATTATCGTTATTATCGATATTGATAAAACAATAATACGTAATATAGCATTATAGATATCACAGAATAATTAAATAAGTAGCTATATAGTAAACGAAGAGTCGTATAGGTGCCGCAAGACGTGCTAGGCTGTTGGAAGGGAAAACCATATTTACGTGCGTGCACACTGCCCACGCGTCTTCCTAACTCGAGCTATTTTCATTAGATTGCGTTAATTAAATGATATATCATAATAAGAAATATATATATATATACATATACATATACATATACATATATATATATATATAAACCTAATGAAGAAATATACGAATTAACTCACCATTTGGACATTTTCGGGGTTGCCCTTCTTCTTCTCGTAATCAGCAAACTTCCGCCAGTAACCATAGCAATAAGGGTACCGTTCCAAAAATTTTGTGTATGCTTCACGTGCTGCCTCTGCGTCGTTCTAAAACACGTTCGTGTATCTGTGTGGGTATTTATTTGTGTGTTGTAAACTTGTATTATAAAATAAAATTAAAAAATAATAATAACAAACGAAGAAAGAGGATACAGAAAGCGGTAGATAACAAAAAAAATTGATATCATTGTCAATACCTCTTGATCAACATATTGGAGAAGATACGTCCACCCTGTAAAATCAGATGGGTCTTCATTGACAGCTTTCCAATATTTTTCCAATTCAGGAAGAGTTTTCTTTTTTGGTGATGCTGGCTTAATATCTTGTTTATTATCTCCAAGTTCTGCTTCATTAGACAGTGCTACTTTCTTAGCAGGCGTTTCGTCATTATTTTCAGAAGTTGGAGAACTTGGATCATATTCTCCTTCTGCATTTAATTTCCTCTTATCTATAATTGTAAAAAAAAGTAATTAAAATCCATATTACATATAAATATAGGTTAAATAATTGTTTTCAAAATACAATTTACTGACTTCCTCCTTCCGTTTTAACTTTTTTTTCCATTGTTTTATTAACGGACTTAATACCACTTTTTCTTTTCTTTTCACTGTCCGGTGGTAATTCATCTTCCGATACAGATTCTGTTTCACCCAAATCAGCAGGAGCAGCTGCTGGTAATTCTTCATCAGAAACTGCTTCCGTTTCAGGCTCCTTACGATGTAAAAAAAGAAAATATGAGAATCTAATGTTAATATATTAAATTTGATATAAGAATTTACTATAAAATTCTGAATTACCTTAGCAGATGCTTCATTGGGCAATTCATCTTCTGAAACTGCTTCTGTATCTGGTTCTATTTTTTTTATACCATTATCGATTTGAAAGCTGGACTCACTCATTTCAGAAATTTCTAAATTTGAAAGTTCTATATTTTCAGTTTCCATTGCATCAGTATCCGGCTCCACTTTATCCACAATATTTTCTACAACTTCTGATATTTCTTGTTGTGAATCATCAACTTCCATAACTTCAATACCTGTATCGACATGACTGATTACATTTTCTGCTTGAACTCCATCTGTATCCAAAATTTTGGTCACTTGTGTTATAGTTTCACCATCTTCTGTTACAACTTCTTCAAAATCAATCATCACTCGCTGATTAATCATTCCATCATTACTTAAACTTTGTCCTTCCATCTCAATCTGTGTAGTTTCACAAAGCATGTCTTCCTTGTCCATGCTACTCTCTTCTATAATTATTGTATTGCATTCTGCACCAGAATGTTCCTTCTGTAAAATTATCATTGTTTATTTTGAACGTTATAAAATCAATATAAGTATGAATATTGATATAGCTATTATTGCATACCATTAAATGTGTAGCTTCTTTGACTTTAAATGAAGATAATATAGGCGGATTGGGAATGTTATTTACATTTGGCGGAGGAGGAGTTTCTAATTCGGGCACAGTCACCTCAGACTGTATCGTTTGATCTATTGTCACTTCGTGAATGTTAGTTTCTCCAGAATCCTCTAATTCTAAATGTAACATTTGAGTACTATCATTGTGTCGCTCAATTATGATATCATTTAATCTTTGCACACCATTTTCAGAGAGATTGTCTACAACTTGTAGTACGTGAGATTCCTCCTACAAAATAAAAACTTTCATCATACTAAACATCGTATTTAACCAATCCTATATCGTATAGTAAGAACGGACTGTATTTACCATAAAAAAATTTACTTTTTTTTGTACATACCTCGATTTCCTCAATTTCTGGAATTTTCTTAGAGGAACGTGTAGCTCTTGCTAGAAGCTTTTTCACTGGTGGCTTTTTCGCTACTACAGGTGTTTTTCGAGCACGACTAGACTTCGTACGTTGTACTAAAAAGAGAAAAACAATTGAATATGATTAATATATGCAATGAATGAAACAAAATATATATATATATATATATATTATATATGTATATACGTGACGCCCTTTGCTCAATGGCGGTACATAAACGATTATTACTGCCGGGTGTACGATGCACTTTTTTTTTATCTCAATAGATCGTAACACATAGAAATAACATATCTAATATGTAGAATAATTAATACTGCCTTAACCAAACTTATTGGAGAAGATATTAAATATATTTATACCTGGTTCAGATAAAGTAACCTCGGTTTCATCACCACTTGCAGAGGACATCTTTTATATTTTAACCAAATCTCTCTAAAATGTAAAGCGCAAAATTGAAACACAAAATGGCGACATGAAATCACTTTAGTAAGAAATATATGATACACAGATCATAGAAATTGTAAAGACGGCAGATAGATTTTCGCAGTGTTATATCTTCTTGCGACCAGAGCAAATGGAATGACGCTTTCTAGTAACAAATGATCACGTGACTCTGTCATGCAAGTTTTTTATTGGATAAAAGAACGAATCAACGTTGAGAAGCCTCCAAAACATTTTATGATGTTGATTGGCTGATTAGGAAATCTAATTACAACTTACTCCACTTCGATAAAATGTATATTTAAATAATGTCAAGCATATTACACAACAGGTATGTATTATATATTATGGAAATTATTAAAAGTAGAAATTAATTAAGAAGAAATGAATATATAAGAAAAATTGATAAAACTACAAAGAAAAAAATTGATGACGCTACAAGGAAACAATGAAAACGATCCAAAGGTGTACGCGCAACGTATATTGAACCGCATGATAAGATTGTCAAGGTCGCCCCAACAGTGTATAGCTGTGGTTAGCTAAAAGACAACATATTAAACAAATCAATGTTGTGATATGTTTTTCTAACTTTTTCTATTAAATTTATCTGTTATAATATTAATGAAAAATTCAATAGAATTTAACGATAATCTAATGTTATGCTACAAAATACTATTAAAAATTTTAATTCTTCTGTTATTTGTCAGTTAGTCATACGAACAGTTCCAAATTCTCCTTCACTTAAATCAATTTTTATTGACGTACTGCATGTCAGTACATACAACTCATTTTCACTCACTAATCGACTTATAAAATAATTATAATAACGATATAAAATTTCTTATTTATTATTTATACTTTGATGTTTTATCTCGGGAATGTCGCAACGGTTCGTTCTAATACATTTTTTTGACATCGAAAAGTGCAATTCAATTTATCTGAATCTGAGGATCCAGTAGGAAATGTCTTACAGTGATGGTGGGCGACCGGTACGAAAATTCGGTACTAAGTCACCTAAAAAGCTTTGCGTGACTAAAAGTGAAAATAGTGATAAAACTACGACGACTATTAATTGCAACAATCATCATCACAATCATCATCACCATCATCATAATCATCGGTTTATCGATAATCCACAACCGTCGGTGCACAAACGCAATTTGTATATTGTTTCTTTTCCCCTTATATTATTGTTTAACGTATTAAGAACTTTGCTTTATCAACTTTTTGTGGTGTTTAAGTACTTATATACATCTACCTCACAACTGATTCAACGAAGACAAGCTACTAAACATAGTTGCCAGCTTGAAATAGTTGTTGGTCAAAAGTCTGATAATAATTTGATTAATACTGCACAAATTGAAAGCGAAGAAATGTCACAAGTACCTAAGAGAGCTATCGGACCGGGTCCTGGCGATCCACTTCTTGCTAAACAAAAGCATCATCATCGTAGAGCTTTTGAATTTATTAGTAAAGCGCTTAAAATTGATGAAGATAACGAAGGTAACGATACATAATTTATTTTAAAGAAACAGAAAGACCTTCATATGAAAAGTATTATATATGGTATATATTAGTGTATTTATATGAAAAGTCTTATGGAAAGTATTGTTTCTTGAATTATTTATTAATTCTATTTCTTAATAGGTAAAAAGGAAATGGCTATAGAACTTTATAAGAAAGGAATTGGTGAATTAGAGAAAGGAATAGCTGTTGAGTGTACTGGTGGCCGAGGTGAAGTGTGGGAGCATGCACAAAGATTGCATGATAAAATGTGTACAAATTTAGCAATGGCTAAGGATAGACTTGACTTCTTAGGTTTGTATTTGTACATTTATTCATTTTTATATGCTTTTTGCGCTATTGCATTATATTATGTAAAGAAACTATGAATTATAATGTTTTAATGTAATTCTCTATGTATGAATATATGAAACATTAATCATAATTGTTCTTTATAAAGAAAAATTGGATTTTACGGCACATGTTAAGTGATAGCAATAGCACAAAAACGATTGATGTATTTAGCATGCTTATGTGCTAATTATTTCTTGATGTTTGTGTGTGTGTGTGTGTGCGAGTGAGTCCACGTATGCGATGGGTGATATCAGTTCGCATAATTTTTTATTACAAAATTTACCTATGGCACAATTTATTATTAATTCTGTTTCACAACCATCAGAACTATGTCATTAAGACAACTTAATGCATTTGGAAAATTAGTGGCCAACTTATAAATAGCAGCATATCTAATTGCGATAAAAATTGATGCAGTTTGAATAATATCCTAACATAACCTATTTTTTTAATGGGTTTATGTTTAGTCTTATTTCCTATTTAGCTACTTAGCCTACTGCAGCATGGCAGAGAGTGTTTTTCCTTTTTGTAGTGAGTGTGTGTGAGCTGAAAAAACTGGATATCGCCAATGAATATCGTACTTCTGGAAATAAATTGGACAATGAACATCCAGGAAAACTTCTGAGGGCTCGTCGCAGTGTACACACATTACAGACTACTCGTACAGCTTCTTTAAATATAAGTCATAATAAAAATCTGAATAATTCACAAACAGTAAATACAGGACAGAACACATGCACTCAGATTCCTAAATTAAGGCCACGATCTCCAAAAAACTGTTGCGTGCATCCTTCTGAAGGTATTGTTTGTCTGATATTCTGGGCTTAAATAATTTTAACTAGACAGTAGGTAGATTATAATTATCTTGTAGTTCTGCTTTTTGAAATTCCATGCATTTCATTTTTCTAGATAAAATGCATTTAAAATATGCCCATGTAGTATAATGTAATGAATAAATATGAGCATGTAATCTGATAGAAATATTACTACTAATGATTCCTGCTTATATAGATATAAGATTAAATAAACAGAAACCCAGTAAATATATTTTTTATGCATATGATGAGATTGGAAATGGACTTCTGTGTGAATCCTAAAAGGAATTTAATTTAAAATGATAAATATGTGTTTATTACTTGTAATATCAAATAATATATTTTTTTAGTAAACTTTATTTTCAAGTATTGATACATAATTTTATTAATACTTTATTAGCAATAAAAATGTATTAATGTTATTATTGATCCTAATTCCACTTGTATATGAATACTTCATTTGTTTATGTAAATTTTACTTACTTTAGATGAAGTACTTATTTAAAAGTCAAAAAAATAAACATTATCCTTCTTTGATGCATAAATTTGCTTTCAAACATGAACAAATACATATGTAATATTTTATGTTGCCATCAAAAATTATTTCATTGACATTAATGATATTCTATGTGCCTATAAATATTCTTATTTTATCTTGATTGCAATGTTTGTATTTTTATTTATACGTATTTATTTAAATTTATTTTACATTATCAAAATCATGATTGTAATTACAGCATCAGGAAGAAAATTATCTGTTCCTGGGAAACGATTAATGGGTACAAACATGAGTAAAAGTCAGACATTGCCACGCAGTATGGGACGCACAACAAATATTCAACCTACTCACAGAGTGACACCTATAAAACCATCATCAACACCACCTTCTGTGAAAAGACAATTATCCGTACCTGGTAATGGTTCACCTCTAAGAAGGCCTGCAACACCAACTACATCAAACAGCAATAGAAGTACACCAACACGAAAAGTACCTCTTTTGAAAGGTGTAGATCCAAAGCTTGCTCAAGTTATATTAGATGAAATTTTAGAAGGTGGAACAGCTATACAGTGGGAAGATATTGCTGGTCAAGAGGTTTGTAAATTAACGATTCAATAATACACTCCGCGATAAATCTATAAAACATTTTAAATTGTAATGATTACATTTATAATACTGAACTATAAATGTTGACACTTGTGTTTAAAAGAAGATTTCATTGGAACACATATCTACTTTTCTACGATATAAGGTGCGACAAAATCTTTTAAATATTTTGTGGAACCACAGAATACGTGTCTACATAAGGTAAATAATAACATTACGAATGAAAAAGATAAAACTTACAACCTAAATAGAATTTTTCTCAATTTGTCGCGGAGTGTAGATACAAATAAATATATATATATATTGAATTGATTGTATATATGTAACATACAATTTAAATTTATAGACTGCAAAACAGGCTTTGCAAGAAATGGTGATATTACCCTCATTGCGACCAGAATTGTTCACAGGATTACGAACTCCTGCAAGAGGATTGTTATTGTTTGGTCCTCCTGGAAATGGAAAAACTCTCTTAGCACGCGCTGTAGCTACGCAGTGCAATGCAACATTTTTTTCAATATCTGCTGCTAGCCTAACTTCTAAATATGTAGGGGAAGGTGAAAAATTAGTAAGGGCACTTTTTGCAATAGCAAGAGAATTACAACCATCTGTTATTTTTATTGATGAAGTAGATTCATTATTAAGTGAACGTAGGGATAATGAACATGAAGCTTCAAGGTATATTAATTAAAAATATGCTTTTATAAATGTATAATATTATAATAGTATTTAGTATACTATATTATAGTATCCTTAAATAAATTTGTCTTTTTACAGACGGTTGAAAACAGAATTTCTTGTTGAATTTGATGGTTTACCGTGTAATCCCGAGGAGAGAGTGCTCGTAATGGCTGCTACGAATAGACCACAAGAATTAGACGAAGCAGCATTAAGAAGATTTACAAAACGAGTATATGTAACACTACCAGACATAGCAACAAGAATTATGTTACTTCAGAGACTTTTAGCAAAACATAATGATCCATTAACAAAGGATGAACTCAAGGAAATGGCGATTTTAACAGAAGGATATTCTGGAAGTGATTTAACTGGTTTAGCTAAAGATGCAGCTCTTGGTCCTATCAGAGGTAACATACAATTATTATTATTATTATTATTATAAAGTATGTATTATAATAAAATTACTATATGTGATAAGGATTGGGTGGACATTGATGACTTGACCATTCCAGCCTGTAATAATATAATAATAATTTTACTATATAAACATAGTGGTGTAAATAATATTATTATTTGACAGAATTGAATCCAGATCAAGTAAAAGAACTTGATCTTAATTCTGTACGCAATATTACAATGCAAGATTTTCGTGATTCTCTTAAGAGAATTCGTAGATCAGTATCACCTGCAAGTTTGGCTGCATATGAAAAATGGAACTTTGCATATGGCGATGTAAGTCTTTGATTTAAGTTAAACGTCTCTGGGAAGAGGCTTTCAAATTAGTTGTTCTTCTATATAAGTTTACAAATATTTACGATACAATATATATTGGAAATTATAAAGGAAAGAAGGAAGAAAAAATGTCATAAAGTCATTTACTGGAACATATTGACCATAATGTAAATATGTGTAATGTTTTTTTTTCAATATTTATATTAATTAATAATTAACGGAAAAAAAACATAAACGAAAACGAATGAATATTCTAGTCATATGGTTAATGATATTTTTTTGATAATACAATATAATATCATATATAATATAACATTCATTATATTATATTTAAAATGGAAAAATAATATTTATGACTAAAATTGAGTTTGTATTTTAGTCGTTATTTTGTTATAATATCGTAATCGTTTTTATTATATTTAATACCATAGAGTCCTAATAATTTGATTATCTATTTTCCAAACTTTTGTTATTTGCAATAAGATTGTTCATCAAATTTTTATTCAAAGTATTATTTCATAGCTTTGATGTAGTATAAAGCATTATTTGAAATGTTCTAATGGATAATTGCTACCTAATACAGCAAAGTTATTGAAAAGTACTTTATATCAGATGTATTGTAAATAATAAGTTATTATTGATATACATATGTTGATATAAACGATGAAATATAGCTCTGCATCTAAAAATAAGTAACAGCATGTATCTATTTAAATAATAAGAATGAAATTTAAGTATATTATAACTAAAAAGCAATGAAATAGTAAATGTATATTGTAATGCAATGTAATGCAATGCAAAACAATACACATACATAAGTACTCAAACCCAATATACATACAGAAAATTGTACACTTCCAATATTATATTATAGGTATTGTTATATATTAAAGCACAGCTCAAAAATTTATTTGATCGTTATTAAGAACAATGTATTATAACTTGTTTGACTAATGCTATCTGCCAAAGACGATGGTATTATACTTTAATATATATTATAGAAAACAACGAAATAAGTGTAATGGGTATGAAAAATTACAGTGATTTACAGTTAATAAGATAATAATCGAAAAATAAAAAACAATATTATTATGAAAAAATGTAAAAAGACCTACAATGTATGCGTATGGGTATATAATATTCGTACATTGCTTCCAATGCTCAAATATAGAATAATCATTGTTCAGGTGATCGAAACAATCTGTGACTTAAAAATGAATACATGTATATAATTGATAAGCTAATTTCAATATAAATTCTATTACGTATTTTATCATTTAATTGTGTGTCCTTGCTTATATATTAATTATTATACTCTATAATATCAGTAAATTTAAATAATAGATCGTATTAATCACTTAAATATGCACATTGGATATATTATTTTAGTAGTGAATTGATGATTCTATTTGTTACCTTAAATAATTTGTATTACATGTATTATAATAATAGAAAAATAGTATATAGAATTTATTGAAAACTTAATGATTTATCATTTATAAATTATAGCTTTTTCATCTTCACATTTTGTAATTATATGTAATTGTAAAATGAAACAACACCGTTGTGTTATAATGTAATTTGTATTTGTGAAAATGTTAATAGATTTTTAAAATATTTAAATTAATACACATATGCATTGCCATTGCATTCGTTAAACTAGGGCATGGTGGAAATTCTGACGCTGGTCTAAAATATAATTAATGTGTTAGAGCTAATATAAGATAATGTTTTGTATAAATTTTCTTATCACATTAACAAATTAAAAGTGCCAACGCAGTTGTATTAATCCAACTTGCTCTGTTTTCGATTGCATTGTGATACTTGCTTATCATAAAATTTTGTACTTTTTCACTGCCTAAGTTTAAGTTATGCTCACTTTTTATGAACATTATATGCATTGTATGTATAAAGACCTTCTTCGACGTAATTCCTAATTGTCAGCTTTGCGTAATCAAATGAAATGACAAAAATACGTTTAAAAAAAGAAAAGAAATAGGCCTTCCATTCTAAACATGCTCAGCCTTGATTAAGTTATTTTGCTACTTTTATATCATATAATAATAAATTTATAAGGTAACATCTGACTAACTTGTTATAATAGTAATTAACGCTATTTAAACTATATCTAATTATTGATTGGGACGATGAAAAAAAATTTATGCACATACATTTTTGAAATTTTTGAACAAATGTGCACACTGTGATGATAATTCGATTGCGTGTTTAATTATGTATTTAAAAATATATTATTCTAAGCCTTACATGGTAATATCTTCAATAATTCGTACTCTCTTAGATGCTATAAATAACTTAGATCTTAGGTATTGAAAGTTATAATTTTCAATTTCAGTAGCAATTTTTGAAAAAAAGAGAAAATAAGAGAGGAACGAGAATAAAAAAGATAGCTAAAAACAAGAACGTCAAAAAAAATTTTAAAAGTCAGTCGAATGAATATTTTCATCAGATCGATGTGCATAATATTGTATTTAAAAAATATAGTCTTTCTTGCATAATATATTTCTAAGTTTTGTCTTGTTGCTTAGATATTCAAATAATAACACGTGTACGATTTCATCTCAATATTATATATTGTATTATGAGTAGAATATGATAATCCTTATGTATGTAATGTTACATATTTAAGTTCACGTTGAAAACAAATATTGTTAATGAAAAATAGTTAATGTTGACGTTCCTTACCGTTATTTAATTAAATAGAGTAACTTTTAATTCGCAGTTCGTACTTTAATAGTTCATATCCTGTACAAAATTGTAATACTTTTATTACCATTTTATTGCTACCATAATGTAAGATCTATATATGCAGTAAAATCACGATGGAATGGATAGTACAAAGTGTATCCTTCTTATACATATACCCCCAAGGGTCGTCAAGGACTTCAATAACATTAGATTTAGTGACATTAATTTTTTTTAAGATTTTTCTAAATTTTCTGATAGTGTATATCTTAATAAATTTCTAATTTAAACAATCTACTTATATCCATGAAAAATGCAAAACTTCTTCCACTAAAAAATAATTACTTACTTACTATTCTCTCAAATGCGTTTTTCGTGCTTTATTTATTATGCACACAATTAAATTTGTGTAGCATTATAGTATTCACATATATATATATATATTATAAGTACATCATAAATTTAAATTTCTAGCAATATGTGGAATTTCTAAAGCTTACCACACTTGAAAAAGATTTTTTACTAGCAATATGTATATATATATATTTTTTTTTCCTATTATGTACAATATTAAATTACACTTTCAAACTATGAAATAGGAGATTGCCTTTTTTGTGAGTCTCATTATATAATGCGTTTAAAAATATTTCTAATATTTAAATATAACCCGATATAGAAAAATTGTCTTTTTAATTGATAATAAATAATTATTGTAAGAGCGTAACTCTTGGTATAAAATAAAATGGTACATGTTGGAAATTTTAAGTAAACGGTTTTTTTCTGTATAATGCGGATGGAAAAAAAATATTAAAATACGATTAAAATATGTTTTAATAATGTAGGATACAAAAGAATACAGAATGTCGTGTATTTTAAATATTTATTCCTTTTTTTCATTCAAAGGACAATTTGTTTTTATTATAACATTATCCTAAGTTTCTTCGAGGGTTACTCACCCTGATGTACCTAAATTACTCTTTAACCATTATTTTTTTAATCATTCCTCGGTTCTCTGATTATTTTTTTCAAAAGTTCTTGAAATTGGCTTCTTTTCGTTCGATATCATTTATCGCAGTCCAAGTGCCATAATACATATGTCCATCTTCTGTTTCTGCTGTTACTACATTCAGTAATGACTTTATACAAATTTGTTTTCAAAGTTGTATGGCTTTTTACCGTCGGTGGCGAAGTAAAGAGATAGTAAATTTTTCACAATGTCTTGATTACCATCTAAGCTCTCATTGAATTATTATTCATCATTGTTAACAAGAAAATGATAAAAATCATTTCGCTATGCCAAAGGAGTTTTACACAGCGTACTGCTTATTTCTCTTTTTCCCCTTTTTTTCTTTTTTTTTATTTTATCTTTGGTGTATACGAATGTTATATTAAATAAATGTTCGAATTATAAGACACAAGGCATTAATGCTTTAGATCGTTTCAAAAGTTTCTTGCTTTTTCTTAATAAGTTTTATATATATAATATTTTTTATTTTGTTATTTTACTGTGTTCAATGTGATTCATTTTGGTTCACTATATTTCTCTATATTTTATACAACAATATAACAAAATAAAAAATATTACACGTATAAAATTTACTAAGAATAAGCAAGAATCTCTTAGAATGATTTAATATTATTATATTAAGGAAATCAAAATTTATTGTCGGATATGAGATAACGATCAAAACTTACTAGATTAATTGTGCTCTTGAAATTTAGTTCGAAAATATTGCTTGGAAGACACGAAGGTTAGCATATCGTGCCGTGTACTAATAAAAGCACAGAAAATATCTTGTTACTTTTCGACTGATTGTCAATTGATTTTAAATTATTTTTTTTATCTTAAATCATGAATATTGTTGATATATTAAAATGGCAAAAAACCTAATAATATATGTACCTCTCACTTTTGGATATTTTCAATGTGTGTTTTTATCTTTTTTTCCTTTTTTAAATTTATTTTAATATGCTATATTAGCGACCCCTGTGTGCTTGTAATTATTATCAACGCCTTTCTCAAAAGTAGCTCCTTATAATGGAAGTATATGAATGTTTACTACAGTTTCTTTGTTTATTATTAGACTTAAATTATATGCTTTATTACTCCTCATAACTTACTATGTTTTTGTACAAATAGAGAAGAGTCACTAATATAACTTACAGTTTATTAAGATCTCTCTTTCTCTCTTTCTCTCTCTCTCTCTCTCGCTCTTTCTCACTTGATTAAGTTTTTAATTAAATTTAATTATATATGCCCGATGATATTTTTTTCAAGATAAAGTTATTTATTTTGTTACTGTAGCAAAATTATATATACATTACACCACCGACGATAAATATCACATAACGAGAAGTTTTTAACTCGTTTTCTTTTTAACCAACGCGCACTGTTTGTTTAAAGGGCCCTGCATACGTCGAAACATTCACAAAATCTAGCTACATCACAGGCGTTGTGTGTTTAGCTATATTTTTCTATCTTAATCTACCGTTAACATCATACTCGGTGTTTATCATAAATGAACATACTGTCATATTGTTCATCAATGATTCGAGACAAACTAAAGATTGGTAATTGTGGCAAAAATATTAAAAAATATAACAACGTAATAATTGCATACATACGAACACCTTACGCAGTACAACGAATGCAGGGCTCAAATCAGGGGCTTTAAAGAAGAGTTCAAAAATATACCTCGTTCAACATTATATGCATTAATCATAATGTTACATTTGATACATTAAATTTATCAGTAAATTATTATATTTCATTCAATTCGTCTTTTATATTTTGGTCAAAAAGAATTCAGTTTCTATTAAAAAAAAAACAACCTATTTTATTATTATTATTATTATATATTTTGAAACGTTTGTAAAAATCCAATCTTAAAATTTTCTAAAAAATCATTAATAATATCATACGAAAAAAAAGAGACAAAACTAATCTCCTCTTCTGTATACATAAATAAGTATACATGTGTTTTTTTAGTATCGATACATATTCTGCAAAAATATACGTATGTAAAATTACTCGTTTATTTTTTTGATAAGTAATTTTAATTCAAAATACTAACACAATTGTTAGAACTGGTATATGCTGGAACAAATATATAAAAGCCCCCAGGGCAAATATTTTGCACGCAACATTTAACTGATATCAACCAATTATCAGTTTCATTGTGTTGGATATTGTGGCATGGTATATGTTACCATAGTTGGTTGTTGGCCAGGCGGTAGCGGTGCTGTCGCAGTTGGTGGTGCTGCAGTTGCTTGTGCAGGCTGCCAGGTACCAGCACCAGGAGCAGGCATCCTCATACTATTCATGTATTGTTGTCCATAATATTGACCATAA